CCCCCCCCTGCCCTCTTTATCCCTAGCCCCTTCTGCATCGGGGCCAGCTTTTGCCCTGGGGTGGGCAGCACGTGCGCCCGGCGCGGCTGGGGCCTGCTAATGCCCCCCGCCCCTGCGAAACTGTTTTTTTTTTTTTTTTGCCCCCCCGCGTCCCGATATTTCATCCCTGTGATCTGGTCACCCTAGTGGGGCTCCTCCTGCCGTCTGGGTCTCTGGCCCAAGGGCCAAACACCCAGCTCGGGGGGGGGCGGGGGAACTGAACTGAGAGGGGATGAGAGGTGCACTGAGGGGTGATATGGGGGTCTGAATTGAGGGGGGATGGGAAGGTGAACTGAGTGGGGCTGGACTGAAGGGGGTGGCCAGGGAAGGTGAACTGAGCGGGGATTTAGGGGGACTGAACTGAGGAGGGGTGAACTAATGGGAAGCAGAGGACGGAGTAGATTGAAGGGGGGCTGGGAAGATGTGGGGGAGGGGGTCGCCCTGGACTGATGGGAGAACTCGGGGGGACAGGAGTGATTCGGGGGTTGGGGTGATTAATTGCTGGGCAGGGGATGGGCTGATGTTTGCGGGGGGCATCTCCAAACTCCCCTTCCCCAATTCACAGGGGAGCGTTGCCCGGGCTCACTGTCACCCCCAGGCCGGGAGAGGACAGAGGGGCTCAGACTGCCCCACAACACAACACCCCCAATTGTGTTTTAAAGCCCCTGGTTTGGCGGGGGGTTGAGCTGATGCTGGCCTCTCCCGGCGAGATCTGTGCAGCAGCCCAGCCTGCGGGGCGGGTTCCCCAACTCGCTGGGGCCGGGCGCTGGTCTGATCCCCGATTCCTGTCCCTGGCAGGTGCCTACACCCAGAAGTGGGGCGTGACACTCGCACCAGAGCCCCTGGCTGGATGGGTCGGCTCCTGTGTGACCATCCCCTGCAACTTCACCTACCCTGGAGGGTGGACGGTCAGTGCCGTGAACTGGACACGAGACGGGAATCAAACCGTGTATCACTCGAACAAGACTCGTGTCGACGCTGCCTTCAAGGGCCGCGCCCGCTATCTGGGGAACCTGAAGCACGACTGCTCCCTGCGGGTGGTGGGGCTGCGCCCCAGCGATAACGGCACCTACCGCTTCCGGTTCTACGCAGCGGGCTATGGCAAGAGTGACAACTGGACGGGTCAGCCAGGACAGCAGCTCAATGTCTCTGGTAACCAGGTTCCATCCAGCACCCCCGGGTCTCTCTCTCTCTCTCTCTCTCTCTCTCACACACACACACACACACACACACACACACACACACACACACTACTC